TATGCCGACTATATCTTTCCTCTATCTCTCTCTTTCTCTCCCCATATATATATATATATATATATATATATATATATATATATATATATATATATATATATATATATATGTATGTATGTATGTATTGATTAGTACATATACCGTACCCACGTTTTTGGCGTGTGACTATATTTAACGATTATTTATTTGCTTGTCTGCGTATGCACACCAGCACACGCGTACACGCATGCTTATAGATGGCCGTTTCAGCTATCTACTTAAAACAATATATACAATTATATATATATATATATATATATATATATATATATATATATATATATATATATATCCTCGCAGAAATCTGTAACAACAAATCAAATAATCAATTCTTTTTTATATTTACGTTTCTGTGGATATTTTGGATTTGTCTATATTCTTACGTATTATGTAAATATACTAAATATTGAAAAACTTCAGAATATTTTCGCACCATTGTTTTTTACCACGAGCTAACGGAATCTCCCTGTTATCATGCAAAACATAATTTTCCTTCTCCTCTGAAAATTATATACATTACGCCTTTCAAACAGAAACCACTCACCGAGAATCTGCTGTCATTGTCTCGCATACTGGAATGATATACGCATTTTAATAAGGTTTTATATTCACTGTTTTTTTATGTACACACTGCTTCTATTTAAAGAAAAAAATGGACGTTTTCATGACGATATGCTTAGTGAGCTTCCAACAACCACCAGCTTTGTCTTCAATGGGGACTCCATTTTTCCAGTCTTGTGCCTGACTAATTTGAGCTTTCTAGAGAAGTATACTAAAAACAATTTCATCTCATTTCCTCGGAGGATATATTTTTTTAAAGTTGAAAAGTGATCAAGCTTCCAAAAAGCCTTTTTTTTTTTTTTTTTAAATATTTTTCGATGGATTACTGATTATAAACCTTTATTTTTTAACTGGAGACACGGATCTAGAACCTAAAAGAATAATATACGAAATACCTGATATAATTTTTCGAAAGGAAGATTTGTTTACACTGAACGCTTTTGTTTTATCGGCCTCATTTGGCAGACGAAAAATAAAACAGGAAGTGTGGCATCAACATGCGTTCGGAATTCTAATGATGTCACGTGGAAGAAATCTTTTGGAGGAACCTGATTGGTGAAACACCGTCTTGACACCGGTAGTGTTTTTTGTTGAAGGTATTGTATTCTTTGGCTCTTGCATATTTTCACACACACACACATAAACATTTATATATATATATATATATATATATATATATATATATATATATATATATATATATATATATATATATATATATATATCGGAGGGAGAGAGAGAATTAATATGAAAAAGTATTTTTCACTTAATGCTTGTTTATTTTAAAATTTCACATAGATATGACTACTCGTCAGAACAGAGTTAAATATATAAAAGTGGACACTGAGGTCAACCCCAAACGTAGAAAGTCTTAAGGTTCCGTTCAAGCATGACTTGGCGCTGACCTTGACTTCAGTATCCACATTTATAATTAAAAACGCTCTATCTCTGATATTCAGCACTTTTACCTATAAATGTCGCATACCTTAAAACCTTATTTTAATGATATAATATATATATATATATATATATATATATATATATATATATATATATATATGTTGAGAGAGAGAGAGCGATGTTTTATCGAATAATTTAGACACGTTTTTTTCTACTTATTTTCAGTTGAATCCTTTCATATTCACGGATAAGTTTTTGGTGCGATTATTAAAGGAAGAGAGAAAATAAGTAGACATAACTTGTTTAAATTATTCAATGAAACAAATTGCAATGAAAACATACTGACAAAATATACGCATATATATATATATATATATATATATATATATATATATATATATATATATATATATATATATATTCCCTGTATCAATATTCTTATGTTGTCTAATATTATCTGTATTCTTATGTTGTCTTAATATCTTAAATGAAGTCTTTTCAATATTAATTTCATGTGAGATCAGAATTCAAATTTTTGAGGCAGTTTTATTTTTTTCAATTTTTAATCAATGCCTTTAATTGAATTAATTTGTTTCTTCTTTATTGCTTACCAACCTTTTACCGGCTATTTTAAACCAGGAAATATTTATGGATTGTGGGAATTTCGGGGAGATAATGCTGATTTATTGACACAAGTTTTACTATACAACCCATAGCTGGGGGAAGGTGAGTTGGATTCATACCTTTGCAAAGTGTATTCGCACGTAAGGGAATATAACCAAACGAAGTGGAATTGGAACACGGCTCTCTGATTTCCAATTAGCAGTCGTTATCTATTACACCACCCGCACATCCAAGCTTACAGCAGCTGATATTCCTAAGCGGTCACCCATCTATGTACTGAACAGGCTTGGCGTTGCTTAATTCCGATGATCGGACGAAATACAAAGGTAAATGAATGGAGTTGTGGGGAAATATTTGGGCAGAAGTTCATCAAATTTGTTTTTTTTATGTCTAATGTTGAGTGTGTATTTTTTAATGAAAATTTAATACAGAAAGATCTCTATCTATAAAAGGCAGGATGTGTGTGTGTGTGTGTGTGTGTGTAACGAATGCACGGCCGCAATTTTCGACGGATTTGCATCAAAATTTACATGCACATGCTCCAAGTTAGCGGGAAGGCCAAGACCGACTTTGCATTTCCCAACTCCAATCGATAGTGGAAATAATCGATTTTTCCTGATTCTACAGCAGTTTTCATGTTTGCGGCCATTTTCTACTGGCCAGAGTGAGAGCCAAAAGCTGGCTGTCACGAATAGGCAGGAAGATTCTATCGGCCAGCGTGAGAGCCAACAGCTGACTGACACGAATGTTAACTAGCATGCAAAAAAATCGATAGCTGCAAGTGGGAAAAATTTAAATCTGCATGGCACTTTACTCCAACTGGCTTATTCGCTTGCTTAAACTCAACGTTGATTCTAATTCCGCAGAACTGGTTTGGATGTGAAAAAGTATTTGTTAGCATTCTTTTTTTCATTCGGTTTTTCCAGTTACGAGTCCTTTTTTAAAGCTGATCGTTTTTTGTTCATTTTGTTTAGTTCTTTTTTCGTAACAGATTTAATGTTTAGTATAGAGCTTAGAAAAAATTCGCATTGTGAGATAGGCAAGAAGTAAAGCGTGTAGCAACATCAGCACGGCAAAGGGCACTCCTTTATAGACAAGGAAGGGCAAAAATATTTTAAGTCAAGTGATAGCGATTGCTGTATGAGTCGTACGATTTTTTAATCAAGCACGGACAACGTCGGGCAATGCTGCTAGTCAATTATAAATGCAAGTTTATTCATTTGAGAGATTTATATAGTGAAATTTTGCAAAGAGAATTTTAAATATTAGATTAGTTTTAATATATGCATCTTACCTATGTAGCTAAATAAAACTCGGTGACTAAAAGGTTAGTCATGTAAATCTTATATGTTGGCACGCTAAGTCTGAACCTTACATTCTGCCCTATTTGGGAGAAGGAAATATTTGGTTCCGCGAGAAAGTTACTTTTTGATAATTTTGTTATTGACATACACCAAACACTGATGTTTTTTTTCTGATTTGTTCTAGACGTACACGTAACTTTTGCATTCATGAATTTGTGGCATGCATTAATTCTTGTGCATTTCCTGCAGTCGACCATTCTTAACCTTTTCAAGTCAAAGATCAATTGTTATCTATACCCCTTATGCTCATAATAATCACTTCCTACCAATCTTTCAATCATATTCCACTTGAGCAGCTTCCCCCCAAAAACCACTGCCTTTCAGAACGAACTCCAACGAGTATGTTTCCCCCGATCACTACAATCTTAACCTGGTTCTAGAAAACACATGGCGATTGACATTTCCCTTAAATTTTTGGAGACTGTAGTTATCAGGGAAGCAAGAAATCAGAAGGGAGTTCTGCAGGTGGGAAGCTGGGGAATTATGGACATTGTAAATCATAACATGTGTCGGTTCAGCATAATGCATTTGCTTTGGGAATGATGAGGGCAAACGAATGGTGTAAACCAATCAGCTGCCAGTTGGGGAATAATTATTCGTTTTGGTGTGTGAAAGTGGAAACCAAGAGTTGGCATGTGGAATCCCAATGGCATTATTAAATCTAAGGACAATAAATAAATATGTACCTTTTACCTTGCATGTGTTTTAATATGTGAGTGTATAGATGATTTGTGATTGCATGCGTTGTACACACACAAGCATACACACACACCATGGTGCACACACACACACACACACACATATATATATATATATATATATATATATATATATATATATATATATATATATTCAAAATATATATATATATATATATATATTCAAACATAATATATATATATATATATATATATATATATATATATATATATAAACAAATTTTAGAGGTACAAAATTTATATATAGTTTTAAAAACAAGGAATGTATTGATTTTAATTTTAAAAGTCTTAAGGCCCTTTTCAACCAACATCTCATCAGGAGACAATCGTTGGATAATTAATCAACGAAAAGAATATTAACGACAATGAAGAGCAAAAAAAGGGGGAAATACACTAAAAATAACAAACAAGTGTATATACTTGTAACGAGGGAGGGGAAATAACGTGTAAATAAATTAGCGAGGACAGTTAAAATAAAAAAAACCCCAACAGATCAAGAGACTTTACAAATTATTTCTGCCGGCAGAGAGAAGGTTTCCTTCATCCTATGCAGACCGATTCCAAAATCCAAATCAATACAAAAATTAAAATCAATACATTCCTTGTTTTTAAAACTATATATATATATATATATATATATATATATATATCCGCGACCGTCATAGTCGCATAACAAAATTCTATGTAAACATAACAGGATATCATCTTTGATGGTGAATATCTTTGTTAAAATTTCCATATATAGATCGATAGATAACGAATAGACAGATATATAGATAGATAATGCACAGACTGAGATAGATGATGAATATATTGAGATAGATAGATAGATAGATATTGAACAGACTGAGATAGATAGATAGATAGATAGATAGATAGATAGATAGATAGATAGATAGATAGATAGATAGATATTGAACAGACTGAGATAGATAGATAGATAGATAGATAGATAGATAGATACTGAACAGACTGAACGTTGGGGTGTCCTCCCTCAAAAACTCTATGTTGGACTCTTCCGTCTACTATGAGATTAGTGGAAGAGAAGGCGTTGGGGAACAGTGAATAGATTGAGCGCTGGGTCATACGATACACTCTCACTAGTCGTGTAATATTCTTCTAGTGCACTTACTGTTTAATATATGATATATCTGTAACACGTGTTCTGTTATTTCTTAACCATTCACTTGGTCACAACATCTTCGGAAGAGTCCAACGTAGACTCTTTAGAGGGAGGACACCACAACACTAAGATAGATAGATAGATAGATAATGAACAGACTGGGATAGATAGAAAATGTAGAAATCAAATCCACAAATAGATTGCAAGAGAGTTGTGAAGAGAGATCGATGGTTAGATAAGTAAATATGATCAAACCAAGATACATAAAATGATAGATAGATAGATAGATAGATAGATAGATAGATAGATAGATATCTTCAGGTGTGTTTAAATATCAGCTACGTATTAATATATACTTATTATTTCTGCTATAGGACTTAGAGAGCGTAACACTTACAGGACAGATTGAAAATAAGTGGGGCAGATAGAGACCGCAAGTAACATGCTTTACGAGCTCGTGTAAAGGTATTACAGAACAGCATGTGTAAAGCATAATAAAGAGACAGACATTGCTTAGGCATAAGAATGATGGGAAGTTGTGGAGATCCATTATCGCTTTCGACCTAAAGGCACACGCGGCACATAAAAGAATAAATTTTGCTTTCCAGAAGACATTTTTGTCTGTAATTATTTTTCAGAATATTTTCATCGCTTGAGGTAAAGACTGTACACTGGTGCCTTCTTCGGCTGTAATATTCTTACTTAATTCTTCTTCTATCGTTGTGTGCCTTCAGAACGTGGGCAGTCATGGCTCTCCACAATTTCCTGTTCTTTACTCTTAGTAAATTTTGTCCTTTCGCTATCTCTCCTAATCCTAACCACTTGTGCAAGATGGTTGGGTAAGTTATGCGCTGTTTTCCTCTGTACCACTTGCCCTAAATATGACCAGTGAATACCAAGTTTTCGAATCCGTCTTTCCCCATTATGTGCCATAGAAATTTCATCTGTCTCTGATGTTAAGCATAAGTGTCCTTTTTGCTTCCATACTCTGTAAAACCTTGCCAATGTTCACGTCTTCATTCCATGGTTTCCTCCTTCTGTAGAACCACTTTCCTGTTGCCTCAAGTCTTTTCTGTTGAAATTGTCCAGCATTCAATGCCATATTGCAAGATTGATATGACGTAACAGTTTAGTACTCTTTTCCTTGTTTCTAAATAGATCTTCCTGTTTCCAAATAATTATAGTGTCTAAAAATAATCTTTCTTATTTGTTTGTTGCTCATTTCAATTTCAGATCCCAAATGATAATTGATGTGCGTTAATTTAAGAGGTACGTACCGCCTGAAAGCCAATAAGTTCCCTGTACTTGTTTTGTGTCATTATTTTAATTTTTTTTTTTTGTATCAAATAGCAGTGCCCGTGTGTCCCTGGATATACACCCTTCTGCAAATTAATTAAAACAACCGCTTTAGTTTCCTTTCTTTCACCATACGGCCAGATTTAGACCGACTAGAGTGAGAGGGTGTAATCGATTTCTATTTTTTTCCTCAGATTAGGTCATTTTAGCAGTGGTGTGCAGTTATATGAATCTTTTTTTCAGGGTGTATGATGGAATTTGTTTGGCCTTGAAAAATATTGCGTTATCCATAATTGCGTCAGATTTTCATCACCCCCAGACACTGTTGTCTCGACTGTTGATTAGTTGTCATACGCCAAATTTCTGCGATGGACGTTACTCCAAGGAAGCGTACGAAGATTGTAACGCTGCACGGACACAATGTCAAGCCTTACCAGTTAGCAAATGAAAATACTATCGACTGGCTCGGAAACTCTCCTGATTCAAATCCACTATAGAGTATGTGGTCAATCTGGAAAGAAAGACTTGTTATCTATATGAATAAATACTTTAGACAGGGATTCAGATACTTAAATTCTCTATCGGAATCAGTACGGATATTTATACTATTTACATTGGGACAAATATTCTTCATCTTTATTGTTATTACACGTTTCGGCCGTTGTGCGTTCCAGACTTCTTCAGATGTTTGCCGATCCAAGTGACAATAAATTACACCCGGCAGAAAACCTTCTGATCAGGAAATTGAAGGTTTTGAGGAGCGTGGAACCACCTCTTGGATGCTGCTGTTCCCAGGTCCACCCTGACCTGGGATGGGAGCATCTGTTAGGGTCTCAGCTGTAGGTAAATAATGAACCTGTAAACAAAAACAAAAGAAAACATTAAAGTATAAAAATATATGCCTATATATAAAAAATACTAACAATACCTATTTATATTAAAATTACCGACAATACCTATTTATAGTATATATTATTTGAAGTTATGCGATATTTAAATTTCGGCATTAAATAAACGTTAGAGGTTGATATGTTGCTAAACAAAATCAACCAACCAACCGAGTAACGTTAGAGAATTTCGAAATGAACCTGTGAATGTCTAAGGATATCTAAGGGTATATCTTTTAATCGTTATTTAGGACTGTTTAGTTTCCTTCTGAATTATCCTACAGAGAAATAGCCTAGTGGATTAAACCGCTGGCTCCTGAATTTATTGACTTTGTAATTGTGAGTTCAATCCTTGGGGCGGGCAGTGTATACTTGAAATCAGCTGAAACATAGCGAGCAATAACTGAGCAGCATTTAAAATAAGAACTAGACAAGGGATCACTAGACAGGAGAATTAGAATGTTCAACCGTCGTATTTTAAATAGAGAATTCAGTTGGGCATTCATATCACGTTGAAATACCAATTCCATATGATCACCGAAGTTCAGGCATCGTCGAGCCCTGTCAGGTGACCGCTTGGGAATACCAGGTCATGTAAGGTTGGGTGTGTGAATGGTAAAATGGATAACAGCTTGAAGTTGTTAATCGGAGAGCCAAGTTCCAATTCCAGTTGGGTTCATTATATACACGAAAATCCACCTAGGATAGGTATTAATACACAGCTTCTCTCCCTGCTATAGGTTAATTAGTAAGACTTGTGTCACTGAAACCATTATTATCTAAAAAAAATTCTTACAATCTAAAAATATTTTCTGGCTTTCAATAAACTGCAAAGGTTTGATAAGCCATAGAAAATGAATCAATCGATCAATCAAATACTGATTATCTACACAGGCATGTACTTTAGATTTATTTACATTCTCTGAACTATAAATGTATAGAAACTACATTGGCCACAAAGTGGGGGATCAGTTTATATATTGATTGTAATATAGAATTTATCCTCCTCTTTATATCCACATTATAATTTATTATCAAATACAGATTAGCTACACAGGCATATATTTTAGATTTATTTACATTCTCTGAACTATAAATCTATAGAAACTACCGTGGCCACATAGTGAGGGATCATTTTATATACTAATTGTAATATATAATTTATCCCCCATTTTACATCCACATTATAATTTCTTATTTGTTTATCAAATTCGGATTAGGTATAAATCCACCTCTTCTAAACCCCAAACCCATTTATGGCTTAATTAATCATTATTATCTAAAAAAAAATGGCTTTAAATAAACTCCAAAGGATTGATAAGCCGTAGAAAACTAATAAATGAGTTCGAAATGCAGGTTACCAGGGTCGATATACACCTGATGAAGTCCGGAGTGAATAATGGCCGAAACATTGAGATAACAACAACACAGATGAGGACAATAGTCCCAGTCATTAATCAAGTTGTTTCCACTGATTGTTAATCTCTAACTTTTGCCTCATGGACAATTATTCTGCCACCAAATTCGCAAACATTTGATCCACGAGCATATCCGAACACCTACACACACGCGACAGTCTCTCTGAAAATAGTGCCTCTTATTTTATTCTGTCGGTCAACGACGTCAGATCAGACTCTTAATTTTTAGCATCGCAGTAGAGCCTCCTTACTTATAACCCATATTTTTTTTGCCTTTTCTCTCTGAATTTCTAAAATAAGGAATTATTATTTATATTCGGAATGTTGTCTACATCTTTGCTGTCATTATCACAACTTTTTGTTTTTATCACAACGTTTTGATTAATTCCCTCCAAGTGTCTGTCGATTTGAGCAACTATTGCGAAAATTCGAAATGAACCCTTTACGGGCGCACCTTATTCTCTTTCCAATGTCCATCTCAAATGATATCTTGTTTTGTTCTGATTTAGCTTTTATTTATTTTACTCGGTTGTGCTAGCTCGGACATTTATGAATCTATCACGCCAGCCATCAAGGTCCTGCATCAAAGCTGGAAGGTCATTACGGAAGTATTATGCGTCATAACATAGCTGGTCAATATTGGTGGTTGCTAGGCAATCAACCCATCTTACTCCGTGCTAGGTGTCCAAAACAGTAGATGACTTACGAGTACTTGTTTTGCTCGCCAGTAGTGTCCTTCAAAGCGCTTTCTGCGTTCGTGTAAGACTGTAGAAAAATAAAAAGGATGTAATCTGAAAATCTGATCTACTAGTGACATCGACTCTCAATAGATGTCTCATAAAAAATTCAACATTAAATAACTGAAGAAAGGTGGACATACTGTAAATTTAACGAAACTTACTCAGCCACGGCAATGGTTAACGAGGCTAGTCTGGTTGATGATTACTATTTAGTAGTAACATCGACCCTCAAGGTGCACCATAAAATAGTTATCATTAAATACCTGAATAATGGTTGAAATACCGTAAATTTAACGAAACTTACTCGGGGTGAAGTAATGGTTAACGAG